TTGCAATCTAATAAGTGTTTCATAGCACATGGAGATGTCTCTAGCTCTCAAGTAAATCTTTGGCTAGTATAATAAACACTTGGAAATTAAATTTGAGCTTTTAAAAAGATGGTTACATCAGGATATATAGTCACATCTGAAGATTTGGAGCTCAGATCTACAAATGAGAGAGAACATGTGTCACTTGTTTTTCTGTGTTACTTCACTTAACAGTTTCAGGTAATGCCTGCTACTTAATGCATTCTAAACAGGAAAGGGAAGCTCAGCTAACGAAATCTCCACCATGTGATAATCTAACAGGATCTGCACATAATAACAAAACCAGTTGACAAACCAAGGTCAGTGGGGAAAATGTCAACTGGTCCCATCTCAAGATGAAGAAAGAGCTACAGGTAATCATGGATGCTGAGGGAGGGAGAATCGGTTTTCTCCACAAACTAGCTCCTTGAGGTTAGCTAATATCAGTGGGCAGCCCTAAACGCAGGTGCACAGGAGCACCACTGAATGGACATACATGTATCTCTATAAATGTATTCAAGTACATATAATGATAATTATCAAGGATGAGGATGGGAAATTGAGAAGAAATTAGGGGAAAATGGGAGGAGCTGCAGACTGGGAAGGATGGAGATGGTGCAAATATGCATGCATGATGTTTACAAAAAAATTTTTAAATAATTTTAAAAAATAAGCCGAAAAGATGGTTGTATTTTCAGGTTCCATTATCAACAACAAAATTCAAAATAAGGAAACTTTGTTCATTATTGTATATCAACAAATAAACTTTGATCATTGCTTTTATTTACAATCTATCCCACATTAAAAATGATATGTAAAATGTTATTTTAAATCTGTCCATAATTATGTCTTTTCTTTCATAACTAAAGTTAATTCAATCATGTGAGGTATTTATTTCATGTGAATAACTCAAATTTATCTATATTTTAATATGTATAAATATTATTAGAGAACAATAAAACTAGATTGTAATTTAAACTTTAATTATAATGCATTGCCATCAAGTAACATAATAACTTATCTATTTTATAATTTGCAAAAATACACTGTAAAAATTATTTCTTCAATTAGGAGGACTCTTGTTATCTAGTGGTACAGATGTAGTTTTAGAATGCTAAGACACCAAAAAAGCAGGATTGGTTTAGATCAGTCTAAAATCTTGCAAAAAAGATGCGGCTCCTAACATGCTTAAATTCCACTCACTCCATTTCTGACTCACTTGCTATTATTGGCAACAACTAGCTTGCTTCTAATCACCTCGCTGAGAACAAAAGAATTAGTAACCCAAATTAGTAATCCAAATCGCCAACCCACAGATTTGTGGATAAATATTTGTTGTTTTAAAAAGAGTTTCAATGTAATTCATTGAGCACAGAATCAAGTACAGACTATCAAAACCAAAGTTTTGTTTGACACAAAGATGTGATGTGTACAACTTCCTTTATTTCTTCTCATTAACCTGGAAACGCCGCAGAAATTCATTACATAAATATTTTAGAATTATTATTATATGGTTAATCATAGTGATGGGCTCAGGATTTTGAGCTACAGGGAGAAACATACCTGACCCATGTGTTCTTGGATTTAAAGTCTTATACTATGTGATAAACAACAAAGGAAGACCCAAATAATGCAACTTTCAACAAACTTTTATTGCAGACAAATAAATGTTAGAATGAAATGTAAATGGGTTTTGAAGTCATAGATTTAGGTCATTACAGCTCAGCTGTGCCCAGAATGTAAGCTTTATTTCATGCCCTCCTGAGATACACTCAGTCTAATCACCTTCTCTGACATCTTATTTGCTTGACCCCTGATTTGGTGGTGATGGTCTGATTCCATATAACAGACATCATCTTAATGCTCAAGATCAAAAGATTCCTTTGTAGAGAATTTGAGAACTGTGTCATCAAAGTATAAGCTCTAGTTTTGCACTCTGCTACAAGCCAAGAATCTCAGTACTTCAACTCTGTAGAGCTCCACATGCACCTGAATCACTGAAGCTGTGTCTGCTAGTCAAGTCTAAAAGCTCAAGCAAAGACTGGTGAAGGATTTCTTTAACTGTTCTGTGAGTAGGCTGATCTTATAGATGTGACAAGCTAGGTGTTAGTTTTCCATTACTATAACCAAACCCCTGAGGCAATTAGCTTTAAAAAATGAAAGGTTTATTTTGTTTCATGGTTTCAAAGGTTCCAGTCTATGGTCAGTAGGCCTCATTGCTTTAGGACCTGTGCAAGGTAGTGAATCATTGTGGGAGCACACGGAGGAGCAAGCTGGTAATCTCATGGAAACCAGCAGCAAACAGAGAGAATAGGCTGCCATCCCATTTCCTTCTGTGGTCCCCCCTCCCTTGTATTCTGAAAATTCCCACTAGGCCTTAATCTCTGAAAGGTTTCCATCAGCATCCAACAGCACCAAGCTGAGAAGAAGTCTTTAAAACATAAGCCTTGGGGGACATTCACGGTCGACCTAGAGCAATAATCACAACTGCCAGAACACTAACAAGA